GGGGGGGGGGGGGGGGGGGGGGGGGGGGGGGGGGGGGGGGGGGGGGGGGGGGGAGGAGTACAGCGTACATCTGTCGGAATTGATGTGACTTTACGACGACTCCACCTGCGCTGACTGCAAAGTCAAGAGTGCATGATTACCTCACACGACTCCCACTCACGACATACCTCTTATGTTGGCCTTTCTAAGCTTGCGGCGGCGGGTTTGCCTGGCCCGGGGGAGGGATGGTGATGCCCGGCGGGGGTGGGGTTCCGGCCGGAGGCGCCCAAGCACCGTATTGGTCGCGCGCCACCTGTTCTCCGTAGTACGCCGCGTACTGCCAGAATTGCTGCCGTGCGTGATTATTGGTAATAGGAAAGGGAGCGGAGGAGGTAGGGCTCAAGTTTAGGCGCGGGGTTTCTGTACGGGATTTTAACTCATGTAGCTAAGCCTGTTTAAAAACAAGTGATCTTCTTGGAACTACCGGCGACAAACACAAGAACAATTCATTACACGTCGCCCCGCGAGTTTTGCGTTCAGACCAGACAACCAAGACTGCAAGCCTGAGGGCGATGCATCGCAGGAGCGCTCCCTGGCACACAATCAACAGTCCTATGCAACGTCCGCCACACGCTGTGGGATTTTATTTTTGCGTCGGAGTGGCACGTCAAACACAACTACGGAGAGTGACCGCATTCAAGCATCAAATACATGCATTCCCTTTTGCGCACGGAAAAACCTTAAAATATTTAAGGTGAAAACTTCAAATATTCGAATTACAGGTCGTGATACAGCACGTCGCTTATCCAAAGACCAGCGTTGAAGAAAGACAAAACTCAACTCCACTGAGACGCAACTTAACTGCAGCATTTGGAGAAAGATACACAACCATCCCATCCCATTCCGCACACTCACGTCGTGGTACTGGGACATATCCACGGCACCGGCTGCGGGGGCTGGCGCCGCCGCCGCCTGCGGAGCGGGGGCTTGAGCGGGGGCTGGGGTTTGCGGCTGCTGGTAGTACTGGTGCTGGTGCTGCTGGTGCTGCTGCTGCTGCTGTTGCTGTGGTTGCTGCTGCTGCTGCTGCTGCTGCTGGGGGGGGGGCTGCTGCTGCTGGGCAGGCGGCTGCTGCATCTGACCCGGTGCGGGAGCCTGCTCGGGAGCCGCGGGTGCCGGTGCCGCCTGAGGCGCCGGCTGGTACGGGACCGGCTGGGGGTACCCGGGCTGCTTAGACAGGGCCAGCAGATGGGCGGAGGCGGCAGCGGGAGGGAAAAAAACATACCGGTAGGTAAGGTCTCGCTTGAAATGCTTATCCGTATACTTTTGGCTTGCGCAATGTTCGGGTCCATTTTATTTTCGTCTACCTTTTTTGGGTAAGCTAGGCTGTGACCACGGGTATCGACCCCGTCAGGTGCTAGACTAGTACAGACAGAACAAGGTACTGGGCCGAGAAAACGGAACGGTATTTGATGTGAAGGCAGCAACAACAACAACACATACGGACTGCTTGCCATGTCGGCATCATTTGCTCCAACCAAAGATCCGGCAAAATGAAGGCCAAAGCTTGCTTGCAACAAGTCTTGAGGCCAAGAGGAACTGTCTACATATTCAATCCCTTCATCCAACATCCCTTAACGTTCGTACGAGGCGTGCTCACCAGCTTGCCAGTGCTCTAATTTGGGCACACATACATCAGCTCGCGAAACAGGATGTGCCTACTACTCGAGCCAGCAGATGCTTGACCGCGACGCGAAGCACCAGCCTCAACAAATGCGACAACCTCTGACATGAACTGATGCATCACCCAAAACGCCGACACACATTCATCACACGCGTCGGCGAAATGACCATGTTCACCCCCAAGATCGTGCATACCTGCTGCTGCGGCGGCGGCTGCCCGTACGGTTGGTACTGCGGGGCGGGCTGGTACTGCTGCGGCGGCGGATGTCCGTAAGGAGCCGGCTGGTACGGCTGCTGGTGCTGCGGGGGCGGGGCGCCGTAGTACCCCTGGGGAGGCGGGGCGCCGTAGGGGGCCGGGGGGCCGCCGTAGCGCCCGCTGGGGGCGTATCCCTGCTGGTGCGGGGGAGGGCCACCACCGCCGCCTCGTCCGTAGCCGCCGCGGTTCTCGTCGTCTCGCACCATCATCTCGATGTCGCGCTTGGCGTTGTGCGGAGACTCTCCGACCCCGGTCAGGGTGACGCAACGTGTGGGAGGGTAGGTTCCCGGGTCCGTCTGGGAGGGGATCTGGATGCGGCAGCCCGTGCGGTTTTGGAGCTCCTTGATGGTCGAGCCGCCCTTGCCGATGACCAGACCAACCTGATCATTGTGTTCGGGATTAATAACCCAGAGTGTACAAAGGCGGACCGCGGTTTGGGGTAGGGCGTGTGTGAGGGTGGTACAACAGATACACCGGACTCGGTAATGGGAGCATAAAGCAAAATGCCGATGCTGACATAGAACTCCATCTCACCTAGCCACCAACGCCAAGTTGCGGGTGCGAAGCTTAAGCTTGGACGTGTTCTCACCACCACCAAAAGGTCACGAATAACACCTTCACAACGTGGTCATTGCTATGCATACGGCACCATGTTTCAAAAACATCCACCCACCCACCCCGCCCTTGTCCTGGGCTCCTGCCAACAAACGCACCAACCCGGCTTCTCAAACGCCCGTCCTCACGCCACATATTTGAATCTCCTTCACACCGAACGACTCGTTCGAGTTGGTACCACAGCAGCAGGAGGCAGGAAGCGTGTTGAAAGTGTTTGACTTCGCGAGTGGGGAAGAACCGTACTTTTATTTTGAGTTTGTTTAAGACCATACACTTGAAGTATCAGTGATGCCAGCTGGTGCGAATCACAACAACGAAACACTCCGGGTCTTAGATTTATTCGGACTCCTCAGGGTTTACCGCAGTACCGCAGTAGCACCGGCGAACCAACACGGGAAAACTAAAAATCGGAACGGGGGTTACATGCGTACACTGCCTCAGATTGAGCTGAGGTACTTACGGCATGAATTAATATCTAAACAAGCTTTTTCGAATCTCGAGGCAGATTCGAACCCTAACCCTACTACAGCACTCAGTATCGCGCTCTTGCTGCTGCTGCTCTCACCTTGTCGTCCGGGATGATGACGTGCAGGACCTGCGACCCCGGCGGGACGCCGGACCCTCCCCCGACGGACGCGGCGTCGGCGCTGAGGATGTTCTGGACCTCCGCCATCGCGCGGTCGGCCGCGTCCTTCGTGCCCGCAGAGATGACGATCGTCCGCTTCGTGCGGTCGTTGGCGTCGGCCTCGCCAGGGATCTGGATGTTGGCTCCGGTGCGCCCCTGCACGCCCTTGATGGTGCCGCCGCCCTTGCCGATCACGAGGCCCACCTTGTCATCGGGGATGGTCAGGTGGTTGGTCGCCTGGGAGGACGAGTCGCGCCCGGGGCCGTAGTGAGTTCCGCCGCCGCCGGAGACGCCTCCCGGGATGAAACCCCCTTGGAGCTCGTTCTCTCTGTCGGAGATGATCTGGTTGATCTGGCTGCGGCACTGCTCCACGGACTGGCGGCCGCCCTTGAGCTTAACGGGACGGGTTTCCGAGTCGGCCGGGACGTCGTTCTGGCTCGCGATCTGGATCGTGATCTGGTAGTCGCGCTGCATGGACTGGATGTTGGACCCACCGCGGCCGATGATCAGCCCGACCATCTTGCTCGGCACGCCCATCTCCACCTCGTACTCCTCGCCGCCCGCGGGCCCGTAGGCGCCCGCCGCGCCGCCGGAGGCGCCGCCGTAGGCGCCGCTCCCGTTTAGGTCGGCGAGATTCTTGAGCTGCTCGCTCTTGACGATCAGGGCGCGCTGGGGATCCTTGAAGATTGTCTCGATCTCCTGAGTGGCGACGGCGACGGCGGCGTCCGTGCCCTCGATGACGACGTGCATGTCCTCGTTGGCCTCGGGGTCGGAAGAGGGCTCCTTCGTGCTGCCGCGGCCGCGGATCAGGATCTTGGCCCCCGTGCGCTGCTCCATCGCCTTGAGGGAGCTCCCGCGAGGGCCGATCAGGACGCCCATGAAGTTGAACTCCGGGTACTCCTTGACGGGCACCATGATCTTCTTGCGCGCGCTTGGCACGCCGGCGGTGGCCTGGGCCATTAGAGCGGCGGGCAGCCCGAATCCGGCCGGCATGGAGGGCGCAGGCTGTTGTGGATCCTCGCCCCATCGGTTCTTCCGCTTGCCGAGTTCTAGAAAAACAGAAACAAAATCAATTACACACAGCAGCAGCCGGAGCAGCACGTTCGTTGGGAGAGCGACAACGGGCAGCGACAGGCGTGAATGGATGATCCTTCCCATGAACTTTCGTGAGGACGCACCACGCTCTCTAGGGGCGAGGCGGCGGTACATCCACACACACGCATCATCAGACGCATACGGACGGTGTGTGTTGTTTTTCCTCTTTGGCGCCCAAACGGGACAAAAAGCAATCGAGATAAATGGAGGGGGAGCCCCGCAGCTGTCCACCCCAACACACGCAACAACGCCAGCCAAGCGTGCAAACTGAAAAACCAGGCCTGCAGCTTCATGGAGATACTGATTGCTCGGCGCGAGTCGACTCGGATCCAAGTTATACCTGATTCAGAAGCGGGAGCGGGCGCGGCCTCAGGAGCAGCTGCTGGTGGCCCATCCCCTCCGCCAGCAGCAGCAGGAGTCGACGTGGTCGCCGTGAGCTTGAGGGCGATGGCCTTCGCACGCGCTACGGGATCATCGGGGAGAGCGTCCGCCATGTTTACCGCCGGTTAGGTGCTTGTCACGCCTGGTTAGGGGAAGCTCGCGGTGTTTACTTCCTTTGATCTCTCGTCACGCCTGAGTTTGTGTTGTGTTGTCCGCCCTGCCCTCGGCCCACTCTCCGGCTCTCGCTCTAATTTTGGCGTCGTCGTAATAAATAAAAAGGGGGGGCGGGTCCGCGTGAGGCGTGTTTGGTGTGTAACGGCCGGAAGAAGTGATCTTTCCTGAAAATTGGAAATTTCGAATCCACGACCAGGCGAGGATCGCTTTTGACCGAGAGAGCACCATCACTATTTACTATCCGACGTCGGTGAACTAGGGCACAGCAGTAGACATGCGTAGGTTCGGGCATCTCAGATGGACCGCGTGAGGGATCCCAGCACGCGCGAGGACTGCAGCAGCATCAGCAGCACGGCGGCTTGCTCGCCACATGGCACTAAAGCTGAACAGCGACGCTGTGCGCCACGCCGTGAAAGATGGCGATGTGGACGCCGTACGAGAGTACTTGGAGAGCGGGGTTGACGCTAACCTGGCAAATCCAAACACTGGAAGGACGCTCCTGCATATCGCTTGTCGCCAGGTAATCGCTGGGAGCCTCAGAGAGTACAGCCAGGAAAATTGGTGATGTTGACCAGATAGATGTACAAAAGAGGTTCAACACAACCGACAGCAAGATACATCGTTGTATTCTGTAGACTAGTGTCACTTCTGTACAGTCCAGAACAAATGGAACACAGGCATACCGCGTCCTCTCTAACGAAGGTATTACATTTTCTTCTAATAAAGTGTGTTGGAAGCCAGGCTCGACGATCATCATGCACTGAAAAGTGTAGTACTCTACATGCGCTGAAAAGTGTAGTGCACGTCTCACCACGAAAAACGGGGGGACTGTCGCCATAATAAATAGGACGAACACAACACACATGCTACAAACCGTATGCCTCTCGATGCCCGTCACAGGGATATCCGGCGATGGCATCCCTTCTTTTGTCCAACGGAGCCAACCCGGGAGCGACGACTCTGCGGCAGTTAACCCCGCTTCATCTTGCATGTCACCAAGGACACCTGAAAGTGGCGCGTCTTGTACTCGAGGCCTGGGCCCCCGTGGATAACCGAGATGAAACAGGGGCCACCCCCCTCCACCTTTCTGCCCAGCAGGGACACACTGATGTCGTGCGCCTTCTGCTGCAGTGCGGGGCCGATAAAGATGCATTGGATCAATCGGGATGGACGCCCGTTTTCTTCGCTTCTTGGAACGGGCACGCCGAAGTGGCGCGCATGCTTCTACAAGCCGGAGCCGACGCAAGGGTAAATTGAGTCAGTGTGTAGGCGTTTAGGCTATGGCAAGGCCAAAGCAACGCCTTTGTTCATGTACGAGAGCCTTGCATTTCTCGCACTTCATCTGCAGCTCGAACTGCTCTCCCAGGCCTGCCCGACGTCGATCGATCGATTCTACCCGCACAGCAGTCCGCCGTACGTATCCAAGTCCATTGCCTGCGCGCGAAAGATAGTAGCGTAAGCAATCGTGGTAACAAAAAAAGTGTATTCTGATACAGTTATCGCTGCCCTTTCGCGCCTCTGTGTTCGGTTTGCTCAGGTGTCAGATCTGCGCGATAGCATTACAGCTTTGCACCTCGCCTGCTGTTGGGGACAACTCGCGGTCAGTGTGGCTACCGTAAATATAATTGTTCGTTAGGTATCCAAAGCATCGTCAAGTACCCGCATTCAACACAGCAAGGTGGACGGGTTGCGTCGTGATGGGTTTTCGAGAGTATTGAATATTTGCTCAATCAAGTACCTCGTAGGGTATTCAACAAGAGCCCGGGATCATTGCCTTCTCGTCACCGACATCCCATGCTCTGAACTGGTGCGTTGTGGCAAACATCCTACCCCCTTAAGAACAGCGCCTTCTTTTCTGTTTGACCAGGTCGCCAAAGTCCTGCTGGAGTATGGAGCAGACTCTTCTGCGAAGGATTGCAACGGATCTTTCCCGGACCACGTAATTGGAGCTGGCGCTCCCGATTATGTTGACCCTGCGTGCGCGCATGAACTAAGCGAGGTTGTTGTCGGTCACCGCCGACGGATTAAGAGCGGTGAGTGACGTTCGACTAAGGTTTGACGTCGAACCTGGTACCGTTTGTGTGCAGTTTGGGCCAGAATGTGCCTCCGCCACTTGCGCCCCAGTCTCCACGCACTATGTTAACCAACGTCGCGCTCTCTCCTTTGGACATTGGTTTCAAGTGCTCAATTATATGTCAGTTTGTTTGCCGAGGTTATGCCCCAAGAAAAAATCTGCACGACTCACACGTTTGTCGCGGAAAGGGACGAACGACCGTCAAATATGTTTTGGATACCGCATGGAATTCAATGTTGACCTTCTTGAGTTCCACACCAGAAAAACCACGGTATGACTTATAAAATCTAGCAACCAAATCCCTCCGGTGTTGTCTTTCATCTGTTTTGCGCCCTTGCTGCCTTCGTTGCGTCGACCCTGCACAATCACCTCCAGCATCGTCCTCCCTGGAGTGTGTGGTGGATTCTCTTCGATCAAAGGTACCAGCGCAGAGGCACGTGGCAGCGTCTTGTGCACCCCGTCTCGAGTACGACCTCAAGGAAACATTGAAACACTTCCCGCTTCCTTGGTAGACGGTGGGGGAAAGCCCGAATTGAGAGCATAGGGTTGGCAGCAGTCCGTGCCGAATTGTCCAGTCGCTTCTACAGGAATACCAGTACACGTCGTTAAAAACAGATTTGAAAAGCGCTAGACTCGTATTTTCGATCCTTTGGACCACCTCACTGGAGCCGTTGTTAACTCCCTTTGCATCGGCTCGTACATAGCGTGAAAGTCTCACGATTGGCGTGCAACCTTAAGAATGCTAAGCTCCGCGAGTCTTTTCGATTTACGCACCCCTTGTTCTGCGGCGCTTATCTTCTCCTCCCACCTATCATAGGTGTCCCATCTCGAGGACCAGCTTGAAAGAGCCGAAAGGGAACGCTTGGAGGTGATGGCGTACTCCTCTGATGAGAGTCGTGCCACATTTTCTGCAGCCGTTAAGCCGGAATGCCCGGTCTGTCAAGTGGAGGTTAAGGAGGCCGTACTTGACCCTTGCCGACACCTTGCGACATGTGCTTCATGTGCCAACTCGCTCCAGAGGTAACCTCTCGATACGGTACAAATAGCAATGTTGCTTTGCTGCTGATTTAGAAATGTGCGTAAATTTGAGGTTTGAGCGCACATAGACTGCAGCACGGGTTTCGACTTCGTAGTATTGGTTATTGACTACCTACCAAAGCATCTCTCATCATTAATGTGAGTAATTTGTCGAGGGCGACTCTACAGCTGAATCGCCAAAACTTTTTTTCCGATGTGGGTGAGTGGTACTCCATGAGCTTCGTTGATCAGACAAATACGACATGAACTGTATCTGTGGAAAAATACTTTTCAATCATGCCCATGACGTTGAGTGCTACTGCTATCGCCTAGCACCAAAGCCGCGGCCCCTCTCTACAGAGATCATTCCCTCGGCAGTGCACAATCTCACGTTGAGATTGAAGTCGCTGCGTTTTTTTAACCGACATCCACGTTGGGAGAGGGCTTTCTCTTTCAGGAACCTGCATGTCCATGAACCTTGCTTCGGTCGCCTGTCTTCCCGCCTACCCCTATCTCTCCAAATGTGTACGCTCGGTGGCAGTTGCCCTCTTTGCAGCTGCCCCGTGCGAGGGTACCGGCTCCTGGAGAGCAGACAGGTATACGAGCGCATTTCAGCTTTGGAAGACGAAAGCGCCGGGATGAGGGCGCAGTCCCTAAGGTTCAGCCGCCGAGTGAGTTTCGTTAGGCATATCGTAGAGCTCGAGCGGAAGCGGCAGCAAACAGTCGGCCGGGATTGCGCCTTGCCACGTCATTTCTTGGGCTCGAGTACACGGCTCGTTCCCCCGGCACGCAAAAGTATCGCAGATCATCAAGTCCTCACACGACGCCGGGACAACTTCGGCGAGCTACCCGTCGAGGCTATCTAGTCGTTGCACTCGCTCTAAAGCCGACGTATCCCATGCGACCCTTTTCCCGTCGCCTCCACCACACAGACGGTCAATCTTAGTTGTACTATGGGTTGCGACGCTCGATAGATCGTGTATATACCTTTACAATCGCTCCCACAGGCTTTTCCTGCCTATGTATTCGTTCGCTCATGCACCGCGGTTGTGCCTCTGTACGCGCTTCTCTCGGGATCAGGTGCGGGATCTGGTGGCAGAGAATGCAGATCTGAAGCTAGATGTCCAGCGTACCAGGGCAGAACTTTCGGTGGTCACTGCAGAACGACGGGGTTTGGAAGAACGGTTTCTCCTCCGAACGCCCTCCCCTGAGCCGACGCCACCTGTGGTTGAAAGCGGGAGTATCGCTGCTGGCAGTAGCGTCGCAAGCTTCGAAGGCGGTGGGGCGGAGAAGCCGCGTGGTCGCTTCACTCTCACCAGCGAAAACTCGACCGGCACCAGCGGTGCCTGTGATGATGGCATCCACAGGATGCAGCGACCAGGCGTTGTGTTTTCCGGCGGGGGTTTTAGCGCCCCAAGTCTCGACGAACCAGAGCTGGCGGTTCTTGACCGCCCTCGACCGTCGGATGGCAGTTACTTGTCTGGCCGCCCTGCTAGTGGTGAAGGAAAAGGCCAGGCCGGTAGTAGCTCAAAAAGCAGCTGCTCTGAGTTAATAGCCGAGGGAGCTAACTCGAGTAGCGACGGTGATCCTTCAAAGACTACAACAACAGTGGAAACTGGAGTCAGGGTCGACGCCTCTGAAGGAGGTGACGGACAGGACGCAGGAAGATGTTTCTTCCCTGACCGAACTGTCGGCGACGGAGATGCCGCACCAACCCCAGTCAAGGCCACATGCGGCATGGACGACCAAAAGTGTGAAAGGCAAGAAGAACTACATGCCTGTACGCTGGGTACACTCGCAGAGCTGAAAGACGGGGCCGGCGGTGGTAGCGAAAGCGCTACCGCTTTGGCCACCGTGCAGGCCGCGAGAGGTAGTGCCGCTGACGACCCTCCCGGTCTGGAGGACGCTTGTCTCGACGAACCAACCGCTGACAGTCACCTCGATCTCGAGACCGTTCGTGTCAACGAAAGTATTGCTGACAACCATCTCGACCACGAGACCGTTCGCCTCGAAGACAGCGATCGTGTTGCATTCTCCCAAAGCGTTCGGCCCACACGGGCATGCTCTGTCTCCGTCAAGATTGTGGGCGGAGCGTGCATGGACTGCTCGGGTTCGACGGCAGAGACTACGCACCCGGCGAATCTGCCAGGAGCCTTATTCCTTGCAGGGCGTGATGGTGAGGAGGACACTAACTCCACACGTAGTCCAATGGACGTGTCCAATTCTGGGAATCAGGTCGTGGAAAGAGACACCAACTCAGCGAGTGACGATGGGGATTGGAGCATTAGTACAAGCATCTGTGGAGACACAAGCGGTTTGTGGCCGTCCTCCAGTTTCATCTTAGCCCAAAGCCAGCGCTGAAGACATCAGCGACGGCGAGAATAAGCCCCGTCACGGGTGACCGGAGGCCCCGGTGGCACCCGAGACGACGTGACCGCTGGTAACATCTGTTCCTCAAAGAAACAGGCAGGACCAGCCGGCCAACACATATGACTCAGCGAGAGGAAGGTAGCGTCATTCACACCATCAGCTACTGCTAGGATGGGAGCAGCCGAAGCTCTTCGAGCTCTCGATCTTCCGGGGGCCGACGTTCGACGCCTGGCGAGCGTGCTTCTGCCGTAAGAATCGCAGTCGTTGTTCAACGTTGGGCTCTACCATGCTTAACGATGCAACTTCTTGGCCGAAAGCTCGACGTGCTTATTGGTCTAGACGTACATAAATGGTGATCGTTGCAGTCGTTGCGAAACCACACGACAATTGCCAACAAGGCGCTGAGCTACGATGGTTCTTTTGAACATGCTTCGGTAGAGGCCCATCTACAGTCTACAGTAGCTCGAAACCAACACCCAAAAAATTGAAAACGTCTACACTCACGGGGACTCTTTGTAATGTGTACTGTATGTAGTCCATGCCAATGAATATCAGACTTTCGATGATGGATCGAAACACAACATCACCCAAAGACGCAAACGTTGGTTGCAAGCGGGGGGACATGTCATTTCGAGTCCACACAAAAGTTCTCGGCCTTGTTCGTCTCTCCAGGACCGAGACCGAGACAGATATGACCAACATTCATCGTATGTGTAGAATGTCGAGCAGTATCAAGTTGCCCGTTGTGGGTGAGACCTGTTTACTGTTCTGTTTCCTGGCAATATTGGGTAGGACATTACTAGAAACGTGGGGGAGACGTGTTCATCTTGATTGAAGCGTGTAGAGAGAGAAACGACATTTTAGGCGGGTAATGATGCCGTTTGTTAGAGCAAAACGAACCGCTCCTCCATTCTTGACTTGATTTTTGGATTCCCCTATGGTATGTTTGCCGGGTCCATTGTTGACTTGATTTTTGGACTCCCCTATGGTATGTTTGCCGGGACAAGCGGGACAAGCTCGCGTTTTGATGTTCGTCCTCCGTCGTTTCTTGTCTTCGGATCCACAGTGGACTTCCTCCTGTGTGAGCCCCGTTTGATGCGCTCACCCAGAAAACGTCATTGGGTGCCTTTGAACGGGGTATTTTCTCGTTTCTCTCTTTGGTGTATAAATTCTAAAAGACTGACGTACGTAAGAATAAATGGGACGCCAAACAAAAGCGAAATCTCACGTAACACTTTCACCAACAGTTTAGGTTCAAGGGTAACGACAATCAAGTCAGTCCTTCCTTTTCGATCAAGCGCTTATTGACCAGGCGGTGCCATTGCAATCCAAGCGGAAGGATGATGAGAGGGCTGCACCCGCTTGGGTATGAACTCCTCGTCATAAAAACGTCCCAATACGGGCGTTGACTCACTCAAGAAAAATAACATCAACACGAGTCGCCATGAAAATGCCACAACCTCAATCCATCGATCCCGCTCCGTGCACAACGCAACCGTTGCTGACGAAATCCATGATACCTGGAGTTCAAAGCTCGTGCGAGACAATGTCACCCATCCCCTTTCCCCTTACCGCTCCCATACGCCGAATGACCACACGTCTGAACATACAGGGCTCGTAAAACTAAAACCCAAGCACTTTCACCCGCATGCACTCAGCATGTCTAGTCGATGCCGACGGCATGAACGAGAGAGGGAAAGAACCAAGCTAGGCCGATCGTCTCTTGGAAGCCTAGTCCCGCCGCTATCACCTTCTCCCCTATGTGCGCTAGTCGGCAGCCGGGACACGGGCAATACAAGGGGGCGTACACCAGGCCGTCGCCAGCTACCCACCGCCCTTCCCCCTGGGACACCTTCTCAACGAGCGGCCAGCCTCGCGGGACCTCGATCACCGTGGCCGCGTCGGGCAAGACGTCCTCCCTGCCCCCGCTCGACGTCGTGCAATCGGAGGTCAGGGCAATGATCGTGCGGTAGAGGTGAGTGCTAGCCATTGCTGTCGCTAGACGGGGTCCATCGACCCCAACACCCGACATCGCACCTCGGGGAGCCCCCGAGATCAGGGCGCCTCCCTTGCGGCACCACAGAGACCCTTCTGGCCGCCTCGGCTCAGGATCGGCGTGTGGCTTTTCGTGCGCGGTGATCGTCGGGTTAACGCGAGGGACGTTCGTCGTCGACCCTTGAGAGAGAAGTTGGAGCGCAGTACGGCCATCGGTCCCTTGGGTAAGGCTCGCAGCACCGCCGTTCGCAGGGTCGTCGGTCGGATTGGACGCCGCGCAGCCTTGCCCAAGCATCTGGTGCGATCAAAGACGCGAATTATGCTGGCTCGGTAAATCGTTCAACACGACAATGATGGACCATGGGCGTTCAGAGATTCGGCGGCATTCTTCGGGAATCCGGGCACTCTCCCCCCGACATAACCCCGTAATGCAACAACCTCAAAACACAAAACACACCTGCGAAAGCGATTGCTGCACGAGTCCAGGGTCAAGCGACCTTTCCGCTTCACCCTCCGGCTTGTGCTCCAGACCCCCCCGACTCTCGCCAAAATCGCCGGTCCCGTCGTTACCACCGGCGCAACACCTGACTTCGCCGTCGCCACCGACAAAGCTAGAGCCGGCACAAGCGGAAGCCTCCGGCTGTACCGCGTGATGCTGGTCTTGTTGCGGTTGGTGCTGCCGGAAGAACGCCTCAACGAGCGGGAGGGACACTTCCACGCTCCTGCACTGCCTCACGCTCGATCGCACCCACTTGCTCAGGCTGGCGGTTGTCTCCGTCGAGGAAGCGTAGCGGGGGTCGCACAGAACAATGGCGCCGAAATCGCTTCGGTGCCGAATACACCTGACACATATTAGGATGGCGTGCAAATGGGCATGAACTTGTTGTATCGAGGAAACTGCGGTACCGAAATCGGCTGTGATAGGGTATCGACGGCAGTCACGGGTGACCTGTTCGCCAGCGAGGGGTGCAAAGCACACCCCACCGGAACCTTAAGAGTCGGACAAGCGTGGTTTCGCCTCCAAGTGCAACGGCGGGGGGGTTATAAAACCGTCCCAAAACTTGTTTTCAGGGCCATATCGCGTCGCCCCCTCCTTGCCTGCCGACGGCCTGATTGACCGCGCGAAACGCTTGGAGGCTGTACCACGCCCTCCCGCCCACTAGTCGCGGGTCCCTTGTCCTGCGCTGGTCCTGGTACTCCTTCTTGAGCATTACCTGTGGGGGGGGGGGGGGGGGGGGG